TTGATCATGGGGCCAACATGTTTCTAATGACAAGTCAGCAATTGCGGCCCAGAAAGCCAACTGTATCCTGGGCTGCATCCAAAGAAAAATGGGCAGCAGGTCGAGGGAAGTGACTCCTCCCCTCTATTCTGCTCTCATGAGATCCCACCTGGAGACCATTCAGGAAGAAGGACATGGAACTGTTGGAGCAGGTCCAGACGATGGCCATGAAGATGATCCGCGGGCTGGAACACCTCTGCTATGAAGACAGGCTGAGAGAGTTGGCGTTGTTCAGCCTGGAGAAGAGAAGGCCCCAGGGAGACCTTTTAGCAGCCTTCCAGTACCTAAATGGGACCTACAAGAAAGCTGGAGAAGGACTTTTCATAAGGGCATGTAGTGATAGGACAAGGGGCAATGGCTTTAAACTGAAAGAGGGCAGATTTAGATTAGATATAAGGAAGAAATCATTCATTCTGATGGTGGTGAGACACTGGAATAGGTTGCCCAGGGAAGCCCATCCCTGGAAATGTTCAAGGCCAGGTTGGATGAGGCTTTGAGAAACGTGGTCTAGGGGAAGGCCTCCCTGCCCATGGCGAGGGGCTTGGACCTAGGTGATCTTTGAGGTCCCTTCCAACCCAAACCGTTCTACGATTCTGTGCAAATTGTAAACATTCTTATAATGAGTCTCCAATAATCTCTTACGACTTAGTATGACATTTCTGAAGACTAGCGCTCATGTCAATCTGCTGTTCATATGGAAACGCCCAACATGACTCTTCTTCTCTAGGTGATGACACCAATTAAATTCATATTTCATATTCGTATTTTCTCGGTTTCTTACACTTCTAACTGGAAGCATTTTATTTGCTCAGTATTGAATCAATGATTTCAGAGGTGGTATTCAGCAAGTGAAACACATGGTAATTCTCTAAGCAAAGCCTCTAAATCCAATGTCTTCTTCATAATACAAAAACCTTTTTCAATTACTTCAAAATAGTACTGCCACTCTATCACTGAATCCAGATGTCATAAGAAGATATTTTTATGACCTGGCCCATGAAGGAATACATGTGCATGTAGCCATAGCATTCAAAATCTCGGAAACAACTCTGGTCCTGAAAACAATCACAGAATCACAGAATCACAGAATGGTTTGGGTTGGAAGGGACCTTTAAAAGTCATCTAGTCCAAACTCTGACATCTTCAACTAGATCAGGTTCTCAGAGCCCCATCCAATCTGGCCTTGAATGTTTCCAGGAATGGGGCATCTACCACCTCTCACAGCAACCTGTGCCAGTGTCTCACCACCTTCATTGTAAAAAGTGTCTTCCTTACATCTAGTCTGAATCTATCCTCCTTTAATTTAAAACCATTATTCCTTACACTATTGCAACAGGCCCTGCTAAAAAGTTTGTCCCCATCTTTATTATAAACCCCCATCAAGTGCTGAAAGGCTGCAATAAGATCTCCCTGGAGCCTTCTCCAGGCTGAACAACCCAAACTCTCTCAGCCTGTCTTCATAGCAGAGGTGCTCCAGTCCTCAGATCATCTTCGTGGCCCTCCTCTGGATGCGCTCCAGCAGCTCCATGTGCTTCTTGTGTTGGGAACCCCAGACCTGAACACAGTACTGCAGGTGAAGTCTCATGAGAGCATAGGGGCACAAACACCTCCCTCGACCTGCTGGCCATATTTCTTTTGATGCAGCTCAGGATACAGTTGGCTTTCTGGGCTGCAAGTGCACATCGCCGGCTCATGTTGAGCTTCTCATCAACCAGCACTCCCAAGTCCTTCTCTTCAGGGCTGCTTTCAATCTCTTCATCCCTTAGTCTGTATTGATACTAAGGGTTGCCCCATTCAGCTTGGTGTCATCTCCAAACTTGCTGAGGGTGCACTCGATCCCACTGTCTTATGTCATTGATGAAGATATTAAACAGTATTGGTCCCAGTTCGGACCCCTGCATGAGAACACTTGTCACTGATCTCCACTTGGACATCAGCCCTTTGACCACTACCATCTGGATGCAACCATCCAACCAATTCCTCATCCAAAGAGTACGTCCATCACATCCGTATCTCTCTAATTTAGCGAGAAGGATCTTGTGGTAGATCATGTCAAACGCCTCACAGAAGTCCAGATGACATATGTAGCTCTTCCCTTGTCCACTGATGTAGTCATTCCGTCATGGAAGGCCACTACGTTGGTCAGGCAGGACTTGTCCTTGGTGGAGCCATGCTGGTCTCAGATCACCTCCTTGTCCTCCATGTGCCTTTGCATAACTTCTAGGAGGATCTGTTCCACGGTCTTGCCAGGCATAGAGGTGAGGCTGACAGGTCGGTAGCTCCCAGGGTCCTTCCTACCCTTTTTAAAAATGGGTGCATGTTTCCCTTTTTCCAGTCACCAGTGTCTTCACCTGACTGCCATAACTTTTTAAATATCATAGATTGGCTTAGCAGCTACATCAGCCAATTCCCTCAGGTCAATTCCCTGCATCTCGTCAGGTCCCATAGACTTTTATATGTTCAGGTTCAGGTGGTAACGAACCTGATCTTCTCTTACAGTGGGAGGGACTGCTTGCTCCTCCAATCCCTACCTTGCAGTACATCTACTTGGGAGGTGTGGGAAGAGAGGGTGCCAGTGAAGACTGAGGCAAAAAAGTTGTTGAGAACTTCAGCCTTCTCCTTGTCTGTTGTTACCAGTTTGCCAGTGTTGCTCATCAAGGGTGGTACGCTTTCTTTGACCTTTCTTTTCTGGCTGACATACCTGTAGAAGCCCTTCTTAATTACTCTTTGCACCCCTTGCCAAGTTCAGCTCCCTCTGCACCTTGACTTTCCTGATGCCATCCCTACACAAGTGGGCAGGATCCCTATACTCTTCCCTGTCCCTGCTTCCACTGCCTGTGCATTTCCTTCTCGCCCTTTAGTTTGGCCAGCAGATCTCGACTCAGCCATGCCAGTCTCTTGTCTTCCTTGCCTGATTTCTTACACCTGGGAATCGAGAGCTCTTGTGCTCTACGGAAAGTGTCCTTAAAGTTCTGCCAGCTCTGTTCTGCTCCCTTGGCCCTGAGGGCAGTTTCCCAAGGAGTCCTGTTCACTAACTCCTTGAACAGCTGGAATTCTGCTTTCTTAAAATTCATGGTCTTGACTTTACTCCTTGTCTGACCCATATCCCTCAAGAGTGTGAACCCAACCAGCACGTGGTCACTGCAGACCAGGCTGCCTCCAATCTTGACATCTCTGATTAGCTCACTTGTGTGAGCTAATGATGATTGAAAACAACAATTTATGGGCAGGAAATCATGCACGTGTTTATGAGGATGGTGATCTCCCTACAGAGTTTCTCAAACATTGGAAGATTAACAGTCTTTCTTATCCCTGCTAGTGCAGGGATTGATAGAAGATTGTTGTGGCACAAAGTGATCCAATACCTTTGGGTTCCTTGTTCCTACATGGCAAATTAAGTCACTTTTTCTTCCCTGCCCTGTTAAAACACTGATTTGGAGGGACTGAGGAAAGGAAGATTCTGCTTTATCTGTGAATTTCATTTTAGGAACTCTATATGTCAGAAAGCCTGTCTCACTCTAGAAGGATGGTATTAAATTCAGAATTTATTTCCAGCTATCGCTTACTTGCTGTACCTCGAAAAGAATAGAGGTTTCCTATAGGAAATCTCTAAATTTCATCTCAAGGTCTGCTGCAAAGAGTTTGAATAGAATAGTGCTTTAAAGTATTTCTCTAGTTAGTATCTTTTGGCCTGGAAAGCTGCTACAGAGCAGTTTTAAACCAGGCTGAAAGCAAAGACCAGCTCTGCTCTAGTTGCCGTGGAAATAGGGAATACCCCATTCTGATACAATGGAGCCCAGAACAAAAATTTACAGGTGTAATAGAACTGGCCTTTCCCACAAAACATTTGAATATTTAAATCATTTGAATTCATTCCTATTTGATGTGCTGATAGATAAGCTCTTGTTTTTACATTTTAGGAAAAATAAAACCAGAGATTCTAGACGAATAACTTAATCAGTTATTAAAACTATTTAACATATGGTTTAATTGAGACAATAAATGTAAATTATCTTTCTCAATATATGATCATATAAAGACAGAAAATTATCTTGCTCTTACTCAGTATTACAGCTCCTATAGTAAGTTTTTTCTCAGTCGACTGTTAAAAATTCATGTCATAAAATTGTATTTATCTATACAAATAAACATTGAATTTATTTAAACAAGCATAATATCTTTAGGCAAAGAAAAATGATTTCATATTTCTTTTGATAAAGATATTCCAATGAATGCATTTTAAGTATCAGCAAAAAGAATTAACAAAAATTGCTGCTTAAAAATTTAGAACTTGTTTCAGCAAAGACTCACTCATGTCCTTTGTTTTATGACAACTGCATCCCATGACAACCATTTTAAGACCAATTTTTGGTATGGTTTATGTCTCAGTCTACTAAATGCTCATTAAATAGAAAGAAGATTTTTCAGTGAACTACTTGCAGTGAATAAAATTTATTACATTCTCCAGAATATCAGGGCTTGAATTTGATAGTACTGAAATGAGCACAGGTTTTCTTCCTTTCCTCAGAAAGCATCACATCACAGAAGTAGAGAGCTAAAATTACAGGAGGCAATCAGCAGTACCCAACACTAGTTATATTCTGTAATTCCAAAAACCAGATTATTGTCCTCTGTCCTGGTCTAAATTATACAAGTGATGAACATAACTTGTAGCAGATCCAAAGATTTTGAGGTTCTGAAGCAGCTTAATTCTCTCTAACTCGATATTTAAATTTTTAATGGCAAATCTGCATCCTAATGGTGTGAATATGTCATTTAGGCACCTGAATGCCTTTAAAAATGTATGCCCAAATTCATGTATTTCTTGGAAAGATATAAAGCATTATAGCATTATTAGCTGCTGTAGGTTAAGATATTTTACAAGTCTAAAATTTGATAATGCAAACATGTTGTAGGATTTGCTGGTTTTTACTAACCATTATTTTCTATTCATTTCTCAGTCTCCCCCTGAGATGTCCTTCCTTGCAACAACAGAAAAGTTCCTTCAAGAGGAAGAGAAACATACAAGAGAGTTTGAAGAACGTTTAAATTCACACCTTGAAGAACTGCAAAGGCATTCTGAAAATACTGTAATAAAATATGCCAGGATACAGCAAAGCAGGCATACTTAAGCCAGTCACACAATTAAGAAAATAAAGCTAAGTAATCTCCCATGAGTTTCTCAGAACTAAAATCTGCAACTAGCTGCTTCATGTATTTAGGCACATTGCCAGTAGCATGTATTTTAAACACCAAAGTTTCAGTAAAATAATCATTATCCTATGGATTTAGGTATATTGTAACTTGACTATATTACAAAATATCATACTCTAAACATATTCTAAAATACACAAGTTGGTTTCGCATAGTTAAATTGTGTGCAGCAGAGACCCTGTTGCAGCACTGTAAATTAAGTAAGATACTTTCGATTCTGTGATGTACAGAGGGCTAGTAAGTGGAATTATTCCCTTGAAAATATAATCAGCCAAGAGAAATTCTCTAGATTGCACAGAACAAGAATAATAGGGGCCTTTAGCCATGTCATAGCTCCTAGCTTAAAGAGCTTATCTATGCTCTGGTTATTCTTGGCTGGAGAAATAGCTCTTGGGACTCTTGAAATAAGAAGTTTGAGCTTTTTCTTTTTTACACTCTTAAGCCATGCGGGTCTGTGAGGACAGCAAGAATAGACAAAGGACGTATTTTGAAGCCACCCGTATTGCCTCTTTTGCCAGACCTATAGACTTCACCTGGGGCAAAGCCTAATCTCAGGTGCTTCACATGCTTTACATTAATACTTTACAGTTTTTAAATACTATTTTCAAAAGCACCTGTTTTGGCATTGATGTTTTGATACTGTGCTGGGTCATTGTTTACGCCAGAACAGGGAAAAAACCTTTAATTTCAGACAACTTGTGATCAGTCTTAGGTAGGGGCCTAAATGCTTTATATTTTTCTACAACATAGAAGAACATTATAAAACTGAGCAGAGTTAATTCAACTCCATGTGCCGAAAAACTGCATAATGTTGAGATTCCTTTTATTTGCAATTCATACTGAATTCTATTGCTGTGCAAGCGAAACAGAAATTACAGACAGTGTTGATGAACCACCAATTTCAGTGAAAGAGATACTGAAGAAGTGCTTTCCAGCATATACTGTTGCCAACTTCCTGGAAAAAAATGGATAAAAATAATACCAGACTGTCAAACAGCTCCAGTTTGCGAGTAAAAGAAGTCTCATTAATATTCAAGACCACAGCAAAAATGTAAATTGTTTTTGGAGGCTATATTTCCATTAAGACAAAATACATCACACTTACACAAAATATCAAGATTTTAAATACCAGTTTGGCTCAGTTTGCAATAAAATGAATAATGAAAATGAGGACGTCAAAGAACCTTTTACAGGAAAATTCAGGAAAATTACTAGACTCAGCTGGAGGAACAAGGACTGAATAAAAAGATGATGGAAGGACATCTGAGCAAACTAAATATATATGCATCCTCAACTTAAGGAGAGATGCATCTGGGAGTTTTAAAAGAACTAATGAAGAAATTTAGGAACATCTAGAAATGAAGCTAAATTTTAAGGTGGGAAAGATCTGTAGAAGCAAAAAGAGAGCAAAATGTTGTCTTTCAGAAGGGTAAGGGAAAAAAAAAAAAAAGGGATATTAGCCAGTTAGCCAGATTCTTTTGCCACTGCAGGATTTAAACACACAACAAGACAGTACGCTCCAGATCTTCAAAGAAACATATGTGCCTGAGTCCAGCCCAGGCTTGAGGACTCTCCTCGTGATACAGATCTGTGGGATCTGTATCTGGGTTTCCCTGCCCATGGCAGGGGGGTTGGAACTAGATGATCTTTGAGGTCCCTTCCAACTCAAACCATTCTATGATTCTATGATACAGAATGATTGAATGAAATTACCAAAAAAACAAGTTTGTTTTTTTTCTACAGCCTTTTAAGATCTGGCCAAGCAAATAACTTTGGGTAATGAAACAACAGAGTTAGTTCCAGCCTGGCTTTTGTGCAACACCATATAATAAACTCCCTGTGAAAAGCACTGAAAACTACAGAGTACCTGTATCTGAACAGCCTCCTTGTTTACTGTTATTTCCTGCTCAGAGCCACAAATGCCCTGCAACAGTATGGATCAAAGTGCCATTTTTTTAACACCTACTTACCTGAAAGGGCACCCTTCTCTTTGCCAGCCAAAATCAGCAAAAGTTCCTTGTCTGACAGTCCCGGATTTAAACGAGAGCCCACTGCTGCCAGATACAGTCAGAGCCACGCCGCTGGCTCTGAATACTTCAACTGTGTTAAAAGGCAGAAACTTGATTGAACTGCTGAGAGGTTTCTGAAGGGAAATATTCCTGATGTTATCATGCCAAAAATAGTGTGTACATGTACCACATTTCAGGTTATTTGGAAAACTTTTTACAGAATGATGGACAGCAAAAATAATCAAGACTGAGAAATTATATACCTTATGAACAGGGATTGGAGATGTATGTATACTGTCAAAAAACGGAATAATCAGAAGGGTCCAAGGCTATAAATGTCTGAAAGCACCAATAAAAATGAAAGAAATGAATTATTAATCATAAGTTCATTTGACAGGACAAGGTGAATGTTCGGGAGCTAAGGATTAGCCCAAACACACAGAAAATTTCTATTCTACTTTGTGAATAGCTGGGCAATGGAAAATTCTTGTAAGCTGCTGGACTTTTTTTATGGTTTTTCAAAGCTTTACTGAAAAGCATTTTTTTGGCTCCCAGTTGAAAGACTTGTTTTAAATAAAAAGAACAATGGTTCAGGCTGCCACCAGCTTTTTTTTTCTGAAGGAAAAACAGAGGTCACACACACACGGTTGCCAACGTGTTTCATGGAGATATAATTTTGAAGTTGGTGGTGGTAAAAGAGGTGCCAGACCATTGCTGTTGGATTCACTTCCCAAACCTTACTCTGATGGGGCTGCCAGTGACCAGACAGTAACTGAATATAAACAAGTGGCTCACGTGAAAGTCGGGTATTTAGTCCATTTTCTTCCTAACATTTCTTGCTCTTTTTCGTATGGGAAATTTAGGAGTATAAGAATGGGAGAGTGTCAGAGAGACGGCGGGTTCTCTGAATCCTGCAGAGAGGAATGCAAACAGCAGCAGCAAACCACAAAAATGGCCAAACATGAAAATTCATAGGCACAGCTTTCTTGGTTTTCTGATGGGTAGACTTAAACAATGGCTTTAGCTTACCCAGCTAAAGGCTAATAAATCTCTTCTGGGATCAGAGATACTACAGAAAGTACCAAACCCCCAGTCCCACTGTTCTGGCTCTATCATAGTGTAACTGGTTACAATTCCTGATTTAGCAGTGCACAGAATCAAGCCCACCACCACCACCATTCAAAACTAGGCTAAACACAACCAGTGGGAATGAGAAAGAGGTCATCAACAGAGGCTGTCTAATGAGATAAGCCCCAGGTAATTGCACATCTCTGGTACGGCATGCCAGTCATCCAAGTTTTATTATACAGCCAGCTCAGGTACGTGCTGAAACCCATTCAGTCCTGCTGCTTTCAGCCTGTGGGTCTCCCAAAGGCAGAGAGCACTGGGGGAAGGTCCTTCCCCAGTATGATATGGATGATGGGATTATGTTCTTGTCTGGCTTTACAACCTACAACAGTCAATTATATCACTCACATTCACTTTATTTTCCATTTAATTCTGTGCAAAATAGCTATCCACTAGATTTTACACCGACTGCCTTGTGCTAGGGAAGTTTTTGTCTTCTCAGACACAGCAATCTGCTGAGAAAATGCTAGGTTAGAGACTGTTCATAGCAGAGCTTGTTTGAATTGGCCAAAGCAATGTGGGAACTGTGTTGTTTTTTCCTCGCTGTAGGGTTCAGATCTCAAAGTTCACTGTGTCCAAGTTACTATTTAATCACACGGACACTCTCAAATCCATAAATTGGCTGTAATTTAATGTACTGCATCTAAATTTCCACTAGTGGTTGAGCAACGCCCCTAGACACTGATACACTGTGCTCCAGTCTCACTTCCTAAACCAACAAACCGACTGGTTTGTTCCTCTAATCTACTCTTAACTGAACTGCTAGGGACTTTGAGACAGATTTATCAAGAGTATGTTTGCCCACTTACCTTACAAGAACATGTTTGCATGCAAAGAACAGTCCTAAATCATCCTATTACTGAATATCCTGCAATAAATGTAGGATTTACTTTACTTGGCATGGGTGTTGGACTCTTCTCCCAAATAACAGGTAATAGAACGAGAGGAAATGGCCTCAAGTTGCGGCAGGGGAGGCTTAGATTGGATATTAGGAAAAATTTCTTTACTGAAAGGGCTGTCACCATCCCTGGAAGTATTTAAAAGACATGTAGATGTGGTGCTTAGGGATGTGGTTTAGTGGTGGATTTGGCAGTGCTGGGTTAATGGTCGGGCTTGATCTTAAGGGTCTTTTCCAACCTAGACAATTCTGTGATTCTAACCCTCGTACAATCCCAGATGGAGCAAGAAATCCTACAGAAGTCCTGGTCTTCAATAACCCACATAAGCACCATTAACAGTGGTTGAAACAGAAGTGCACAGAAGACGTCAGCTAACAGCTCCATCTGTAGCAATGATGAAGATGCTCAGCTGGGATGTGGATGGCAGGACCTTGCTTTGGTGGTGCGTAGTGTGTGAACTGGAACTACCTATCCTGGTAAGAAACTTCTCGTAAGAAACGTCTCTGTGGTCCAGGTCCAAAACCAAAAATCAAAGCACAGGCTCTAGTTCACAATTTCAGATCTACAGGAGCGTTCAAACCTGTACACGTACCATCCCGTCACCGGACATAAATCCAAAACAAGAAGGGTGAGTTTTCTCAGCTGCATGTATTTAAAGGTGCTGTTTTCTGAACATCAGGATGTGAATAAGTGAACATTTTCTTGTAGATGGATTGATACAGAAGACTGAGAACCACTCTGAGTTCTGGAAATACGTGTAGTTCTTCCATCAGGCCAAAGGCAGCGTCGACGGCTTCTCTCAGTTGGTTTTGGGGACCTGGGGCCACGTACAACACGCACGGGCATATGCTCACTGCGAGAATACTCGACACAATTCCTTTA